GAAACTCATTGAAATGATTGACGTTAAACCTGAATGGGGACCAGTTTATTTTATCAGTAACAATTCATTGATTCCTACAACTACAACAACCACGACTACGACGACGACAACAACAACAACAACAACAACAACTACCCCTAAAACCACAACCACCACTTCTACAGCAGCATCAGTTTTGCCTGTCGCAGGAAAAATTGATTCGAATGAAATGTCAAACGATAATGATAAATCTTCATATTCGGAAAATGACAAAAATATGCACACATATGACGAAGCATTATTTTTAACGAATAATAAAACAAAATCTAATATATTAATTTCTCATGAATCCACTAACAAATCATCTTCATATTTCTCTTGTAATTATATTATTTATTCAATTCTCATTTATAACTTAATAAAACTATTACTAACATAGAATAAAAATTGTAAATTAATACATTCATACAGTCCATTTTTTTTTACCCAAAAATTAATTTAATTTTATTTATTATTATTATTATTTATGAAAATAGTAGGGTATCTCATTCAGTATTTTCAACACGCATCCGAATTGCTTATAAATTGAACAGAAACTTATATTTTTCATATAAATATAAACAACCATGACAATGTGAACCTGTGAATTTTTAATCGTGATAACTAATATGCATTTGTGTGATTCATTTATATTTATATATGATATAACCAGCAACCGTAAAAAAAACTTCATTTGAAAAACTAAAACATACCTAAATACTTATTTATAAAAAAAAATTGTCAATCGTCAAACATTAACATTGAGACAATAAATGTTAAAAACCCGTTTGGTAATTAATATATTCTTGATAAACTCAAAAACATAAACTACATTCTATTAATATTGTTTTAATAATGCATTCCAGTTATAAATTTATATTTTTATATAATATTTTAATAAATATATTTATTGTATGAAATTTATTTACTTATTCTCATTATACATCATTCATTTCTAATTTTGAAACCAGAGCATTTGTTTTTCCTTTGTTTTTTTTTTTCATTTTTTTGCAAAATTTGATATTATGAACACCTAAATCTTTGATTTCTAAGGCATTGCCTCAATTATGATTTGAAAATATTTGAAAAAGGCCTGGGAAAAACAAATAAATAATGCCAAACATATTAAATTCATTATTGATTCTGCCATTACCAATATTTTACTGCCTAAAACATTTCTACTTGCAAAAAATTTTTAAAAGCCTTTACTAAGTGAAGAGTAAGACAAACACTAAATAATTGGGTGGTGCAGTTGAGAAAAGTATTTTGAAAACTTTAAGATATTTTTTTTTTGTTGACCACTGTAGAACAGATAAACAAAAGTGATTATTGTTTGGCCTTTTTAGATAAGTTCAGTAAAATGATAAAAGAAAGAAAAATAAACTCAAACAGTGAAACATTCCACTTTTGAAAAATGAACATGGAATCTATGGGTATTATTATTTAAAAAAAACCTCAGTGCTGCTCAAACCATAAGCAATTCAAAATTTTCTTTGATAAAAGTTTTAGACATTAAAAAGTATAAAGTCGTTAAATATTTTCATAAAACAATTGACATAGATAACCCAAAAAAAAAAATAGTTTAGAATTAAAAGAAAAATAAGATGACCACAAGGATTTACATTTCTCAAGTATTTTTCACTCAGACTGTACTATATAAATAAAATAAAAATAATAAAGACTTACCCATGAGACCAAGCTGTTGAGGAGTTAGCAAATCATTATTCAAAGTCTCTGTGTTAATATCATAAATTGAATTCCGTGAAAATGCAGACATTTTTTCATTGTAATTGAGATTTGAAAAAACTGAATTTTGCCTGTGTACTCCTTTTGAACTGATTCCTACAATAAGTAAAAATTAATTAATACCAATTATTAGTAATTTAAAATAAGTAAAAATTATAAATTACCATCTACAGGACATTTTATTCCTTTACTTTTCTTGTAGCCTGACATTAGTTTAAAATTATTTAAAGACACATTTTTTCTTCGACGCAAATATCTAGCTATCAAAGCCGTGACTACTATTCCACTGGTAACTGATATAAGAATAATCTAAAAGAAAAAAAAAAAGACAAAACATTAATTAAATAAATATTAAAAACTAAGACTAAATCGAGCAATCAAAGCATAATACACTGAAAATAAAACTATTACTTTTCTAGCAAAAATTGTTTTTCATACCTTTTGAGAATGAGTAAAACGTATTTGGTGACCAAATACGGATGAAAACACAGGTAACCGTAAAAAAAATGTCCGAACATAACTCACAAACATACTTTTAATATTCTTCTATGTAAAAACTTTTATTTTCTGAAATAATTTCATTTTACAATACCCAGAACAATATATCAGGTTTTCAACGAGAAAATACATAAGCATTTCGGCAATGATTTTCTGACCATAATAAGATAGAAACTCATAACTTTAGGAGGAACAATATAAAGAATGATTTTAACGAGCAAAATAATAAATAAATTATTTTTTTAAACAAGCACTTTGAACAGAAATTTAAAAAAAAAAATGCATTAACATTGCACCATGCTTTTATTAACGGTAAACATAATTACTGTAAGCTTTGAATTCAATTATTAAAAAACTTATTTGCTGCAAAAAAAAAATTAGACTAACTCATTGCAGTTTATATTAAAAATATTATTTTTTAGATTTAGGAAAAATAAAAAATAAAATAAAATAAAAATAAAAATCATTAAACCAAAAATTAACCTTCACAGCAGCAAAAACTGATTTGCTTCAGGTAACAGCATCATTATCAAAACGACATAGTTTTAACTTCAGCATGCCGTTTATGATAGGTAAATCTCCAATCAGGAGAACACTTAAATATTTAGAAAAAGGAAAAATTTTCTTTAGAGAAAATGTTAAAATATTTGCAATAAATTACAATTCATTAGAAAAACATCATAAAGGTGCTAGGTAAAAATTAATAAAAAATTCATGAATTAATTTTTGAAATTTACTTTTGATAAGTATTTTAAAGTGATTTATAAAGTGAATTATATTTTTTTTTTTAGGGAATTTGTTTTTTGGCATTTACCTCAAATCCAGTATAAAAACCGAAATGTTCAATGTATTTGCTTTAAAAATCTAACTCCATCACCTTTTATTCAAGTTTATTTTGAAAATGGAGACAATACATTAATTGATATTGATAGTAGGAAAAGGGAAGAAATCTTGGATCATTTATCAAATTGTACATTTCTGTGTAAAACAAGGTAATTTTATTTTTCCCAATTTTAAATCATAATATAATAGCAATTAAGACATTTAGGATGTCAAAAATGAACTTATTTATTATATTGTAGTTTTGTTTATAAGTAAATTATTAACTATATCTTTAGGGATGAAGTAGAAGAAACAGATTTCACTGAAAAGTTACAAACTATTAATTTTGGATACAATTGTAAAAAACATTGTATATGTGAAGTTATGGGTCAAGTGCCTTGCACTTCTTTAGTTGCAGTACCTAAAATTTGGAGAGGAATTTTAAAGCCAGACTTACCATACAATGTCCCTCCGCATTATATGAAATAATAAAATAATTTCCACAATAATTTACCAGTTGTTTTTTTAACAATATAATTTTGTAAAGGTAAGCAAAGATAATTATTTATTATTAAATTAAATTAAACTGATACTTTTTATAATTTAAAGAAAATAATTGAAATATTTTTATTATAAAATTTATATTCCTTAAACTTTATACAGTTTATTTTGACATCAATGGTAATAATAATTAATCATTAAAGCAGTAAAGAAAATAAAAATTAATTTGAAGAATACTGACTGTGTTTATAAATGTTTAAAAAAATTTATTTAAAAAAAATTACCAAAACATTTTTTTCCCTTTGTTTTGGTAAGAAATTTTTATTGTAAGTCAGTCAGCTTTTATTCTTTTCCTTCAAGAATACAAAGAAACAATTTGGCACAAACTAAATTAAAATTTTCTGAAAAATTCAAAAAAAAAAAAAAAAAAAACAATCAAATCATTCTGTTAAACATTAAAACAGAACAAACATGTTGTACATTAACAGACCTGAAAGTTTATAAAGCCATTGTGGTTTGTTTTTCCAATAAATAAACACAAAATAAAAAGGAATTCCTCCTAAAATGAATATACAACCTACACCAACTTCAATCGGTGTGACATAGCATGGGGAAACAACCAAAAAAGAACAAATTAAAAAAAAAATAACAGGTAAAATTAAATTTACCTAGAAAAAAAAAAAAGAATTCCTTTTCAATAATTATTAACGTAAAAATTTTTAAAGGATTTTTCTTTTAATAATAATTGATGAAATTTACCTTTATGGGCCTAATTAATTCAGGTTTTGTATACCTTAACCAAAGCAAACCAGATACAGATATAAGTGTGAATAAGGATTCAATAAAACTAGTGAGATTAATTAAAACGTAAACGTCGTCAATGAAAAGAAGTATTAATGTTATTAAACACTGTAAAATTAATAATAATAATAATAATATTAATATCAAAAGAAAAATGATATGGAAAATAAAAAAATTTTGACATTTTTTTTTTCACGATTAATTACCGTAATTTAAATTATGCGGGTACGATAAATATCTGGAAATGGAAAATCTAATGAGAGTTGTAGACTTACCAAAAAAATTAAGGAAGGCACTGGCGTGAATTTGTTTATATTAATTAATGCAATTGCTGCTGGTAAATGCCCGTGTTTAGCTCCCACAAAAAATAATCTAGAACTAGCAAAAATTGCTCCATTTAAAGCTCCAAAAGTTGAACAAGCAACAAAAAAAGGCATAGTCCAAGCCATTATTCCTAGAGTTTTATTAGCAAAAGTCTGAAAATAAAATGAAATTGAAAAATAAAAATTAATTTAAAACATTTACACGGTTAATTTATTCACAATTATGGTATTCTTTTTTTAAATATGTCACCCTTTTGTAAAATAAAAATTTTAAATAATGATAAAGATTTTGTATGAAATATTAGTTTACCACAGCAACGGCATTGGAAGATAAAATTTCTTCTTGTGATAAAACAACAAAATATGCCACATTAGTTAGCACGTAAACAATTGTAACCGTTGGCATTGATATGCATATTGCTCGAGGAAGATTTTTATGAGGTGACTTGAGTTCTTCAGTAACAAAATTAAGAAAACTCCTAAAATATAAATTTATAATTACTTTGCTATATCGAAATATACGGCTAATAAAATTTCAATTTAAATAAAAACTTTAACATTTTACCATCCTGAATAGGAAAATAATCCAGAGTAAAAACCAAGTGCCAAATGACCGGGATCAATTGAAGTTCCTCTCATTGATGTTTTAAGTGATCCAGCAGATTTTGTGCACAGATTATATAATCCAGTACAAATAATTACAATTAAAGCCAACATTTTTGTGGCTGTGAATATGTCTTGAACTCGCGTCACCCATTTAACATTGTAGCAATTGATAGCAGTTAAAACGCCTGAAACACTTGGTATTATGGATCAAAAAACGTTTGAAATACAGTTTCGAATGTTAATTCTTACAAGTTATGAGAGCGGCTATGAGCTTGACAGCAACTGATGGTGCGACGCAATTAGGCCACAAAGGTTGTAAAATATATTGGGCAAATGTTCTTGCAGTTACTGCATTGCCTGTTGGAACCAAAATTAAAAGTGCGACCCACAAGTATAAAAAAGCAGGAAGTGGTCCAAAAGCTTCGTTAATATAAGCATAATCTCCTCCGGATTTAGGTATCATAGTACCTAGAATAATAACAAAAGTGAAAATTTAGACCAAATTAATTTTTGGCAAGTGAATAAAATACTTACAGTTAGTGTTAGAAAAATTTAAAAGGGTTTTATAATAATTACCTAATTCTGCATAACATAAAGCTCCAATGAGTGATAAAAGTCCAGAAAGAACCCATATTATGAGAGCGATACCAACGGAACCAGCTCTGATAAGAACACCTTGTGGAGATACAAATATTCCAGATCCTATAATAACTCCAACAATAATAGCAACTCCATCAAACAAACCAATTTCTTTTTTCAACCGGATGCTACCTTCCACCACAGTTTTATCTTTTTTTTCTTCTTTTTCTTCTTTTTGTAGACAGCCATCAATGCTATTTATTTCGTGTCGTAAAGACATTATTTTGTTTTTTTTCAAAAAAAAAAAACTTTCTGAATGTTTTACTTAAGTATTTAATTTAGAGTCTAAAAAAATTTTAAAATTTTAATTAGGAAAATGCTCATTAAGAAATAATACCATTTTTTTTTTTATTCTCATTTTCATTATTAAAAGTTTAAATTAAAATAATCCTTCTTTGAGTTTATTAAACAAAATTTGAAAAAACAAATAACAATTTATTAATTCTGTAATTTTTGTTAGAATGCATTTAATACTGTTTACTAATTTAATAAATTATTTTTATATATTTGAATTAGCTAAAAACAAAACATCAAAATCAAATGAAAAGGACAAAGAGACTAAAATAGGAATGATTATTGTTAAAACATGAGAAAGTCAAATCCTGTTCATTGCAATAAATCTTGAAAATGAACCTTAAAAAGAGCCTGTATGTACTAAAAGTAAAAAAAAAAAAAAAAAACAAATTAAAAATAATAATAATTGTAAACTGTTGAACATGTTTGATTTCTCATATTGTATGTGAAACTAATTGTGTGCATTGCTATTCATGGGTTTGAAATTAATGAAAAGGAGGGAAATTGAATATTACATTTATATGACATTGGTATACAGCTATTTTATTTTAAATATAATGGACTTTGCAGTAATTAAATTGGAGAACGATGGTATGATACCATAAAAAGAAAAAAATCAATTTAAATCATGATGAAATGTAACTCAGAGAAATAACCGTCAAAATTAAATATACGCGGCTTGCATGAAAATAATTAATGTTTAATAAAAAAATGTTGGTGTTACAGTTTGCTACAACATTAAAAAGGAAATTTCATTGTTGCTAAACTAAAACAGGCCATCAAGTTTATCACAATAAAAGATCGTATATTTTATTTTCATATTTGCCTAACGAAAATTTTTTTTTTTTTTCTACTCCTAATTTTTTTTTTTTTTTTTTGAAGAATTTTAACGCGTAAATGTAATTTTAAATACTTTGATCGAAAAAAATTCTTTTTTTTTTTTTTTTTTTTTTTTAATCGGTTGATTTTAACTAATTTATATATTTAAAAAATTTGTTTCCATATATTTAATATCAATTTATGTTATTAAAATTTTTTAAATATATATATATGTATAATCTGAAACTTGTTTTAAGTTTTAATTTGAATTTACTTCAAATTCAAAATTTTATAAAAATTTAAGTTAAAAATAATAATATTTGTTTTCACACAAGCAAACTTTCTTATTTAAAAAAAAAGTAAATTGTATTAATTTCAATTTTATAATAAATAAATAATTAACTAAACATAAAATAAAATTTACCAATGAAAAAATATTATTATTTTTAACAAATATATATATATATATAAATTTGTTTTTTTTTCAAATATATGGAAAAAATAAAATATATTAATTAAAAATAAATTTATACGGTACTTATTTAATAGTCCATCCTTGATTGATGACAGAATCCGTTAAAAAAAAAACAAAAAACTTTATTTTATTAAAATTATTAATTTAAATTTGTTACGTTTATTATTATGATATAATTCGCACTTATTAATGTGATCCGGTACAAAAGCTCATAGAATTCATTTTCCCCGCACATATTATATCTCTTCAATTTGTCAACTACCAACAGAATCTCCTGCCTTTCCCTACGGTGGCATTTACGTTATGTTAAATTAATCATTTTTTAAATTATTTTCTATCTCTCTCTCTCTCTCTCTCTCTCTTGATTTAACAATTATGCAACATTGTTAGGTGTAAAATAATAATAATAATAATAAATTAATTATTTTTACCAATCATTGTAACGGTAATACGAATTCATATGATTCTTTTATTGTAATTTTATTGTAAATTGATTTACGAGCGAAATATTTCTTTTTTTTTTTTAATTTACTTAATTAATTTTATAATTAAATCAAAAAATTTTTGATAATAGTAAATAAAATTTTAAAATAAAAGAAGTATTTATATTTTTATTAATATAAAGAAATGTAGAAAAAATATGAAAATTTAAATAAATAAAAATTAAAAGTATTTTAAATATACTTTTTAAAAGTTTTATTAAGAAATATAAAAGTTCCAAATAAGAAATTTAATATTTTCCCGTTATCCTTTAGACAAAATTACAAACAAATATTAATTGTAATTTTTTTAGTTTTTCTCATGTGTTTTAAAAATTTTGTTATTGAAAATAATTTGAGGGATAAATGATTGCAACCCCATAACTCAGAAAAGTATCCAACTAATTTATGTGTGATAAATAACATGGCGGACTTATCAGTACTACTGTACACAGACGGATAATTTTTGCGTTTATTACAATAGGTTAACCTTTGAAAAAGTTTTGTTTTTGTTTTTAATCTACGAACGCTTTATAAAATTTATACCTATATTTATTATTTTTCATTTTTAAATTTTGTAAATCTTATGGTTTACATATGAATAATTTAAATAATGTTGTTATGAAAAATATTTTCAGTGGCATTAATTAAAATATGTCGGTCTCCAATATGTCTGTTATGCTATTTACGTTTAGTGTAAGTGTTTCCATTCAATCTTGAATGTATCATTTATTTAATTAAATAATTAAATATAATATAAGCTTCAAATTGTCGACATGGATGGAGATTTGAATGAAATTCAAAGAATCTCGGCCAATTCTAACCTCGTGGCAACAGCTGAAGAGTTTGTTCCAAAATCTTTGTCAAATTTACGAGAACCCAGTAATGTATTGCAAAATATTGGGCAAAACTCTTTTGAATCCAATTCTTGCAATGCAAACGTTTTTCAATTTTTGAATTCTTTTCGAAATCATCATGAAACAGAAAATACCAAACAATATCATTCTGTATTGAGTGAACCTCAATCTTCACATCATTTAATGGTTGGAGAACATAGTGTCCCCAGTGGTAATATTCATAAACCAATGTCAAGGAAAAAAAATTTATTTTTTCCTGATAGAAAAGATACTAATTACATTAAGTATAATCAATACAGACAAAATAGTAAATGGAAGAATGGAAATCATGGGAATCAACCTAACAGTAATAATGTCTTTGATGCTGATAAGGTAAAGTTTCATTATTCTCAAAATTTTGTGGAAAAAAATAAACCAAATGATATACCAAAATCTGTCAATCAATATTTTGCGACTGAAGAAGAAACAATTAAAAATAAAAATTGGTATGCTCAACCTGGATATCAGGGAACTAGTTTTACAAATAATAAAAGGCCATCTTGGAGAAATCAAGATAATTTAGCCAAGTTTAAACTAAAATCAAAAACTAAGGATGACCAAGAAGATAGGCCCAATCAATTTTATTTATCAAAAACTGATAATCATAATCAAACAAAGGCTAAAATTATAGAAAGTAACAAAAAAAGTTTAGAATTAAATCAGAATAAATATATAAAATTTAAAAAAACTAAAGAAAAAAAAACTGGTCATCAGTTTAATCAAAAAACTAGTCAAAGAGAACAATTAATGAATTCATTAAGTAAAGGAGTATTAGAATGTTTGGTTTGTTGTGAAACCATCGGTCAAAATATGTCAATATGGAGTTGCAACAACTGTTATCATGTATTGCATTTAAAATGTGTTATAAAATGGGCAAAATCCTCTAAAAATGATTTTGGTTGGAGATGTCCAGCTTGTCAAAATTTAAGCAAAGATATTCCTGATGTATATTATTGTTTCTGCGGCAAAACAAGAAACCCAGAGTGGAATCATCAAGATTGTCCTCATTCTTGTGGAGAAGTTTGTGGTAAAGCACTGAGAAAATCATGTCCACATAAATGCACTTTGCTTTGTCATCCAGGACCCTGTCCCCATTGCACTTCCACTGTATCAAAAACTTGTGGATGTGGCAAGACTAAGAAAATAGTGCAATGCAATGGTTCTGATACCGTAACATGTGAGGAAAAGTGTGAAAAAGAATTAAACTGTTTGATTCATACTTGTACCAAAAAATGTCATTTAGGAGAATGCTTAGAGTGCACTGAAGTTATTCATCAAGGTAGTAGCATTCTTTACAAATTTAATAAATTTTAAATATACAAGAAAAAAAAAATTTTTTAATTCTACCATAAATTTTTATTGTAGATTGCTACTGTCAGAAGTCACATAGAGATGTCAAGTGTTCAATCGAGTTCCTTGGAATTGAAAACTTTTCTTGTGGAAACACCTGTGATAAGAAGCTAAATTGTGGGAATCACTCATGCAAGGACATATGTCATGAAGGTAGGATAATTAATTTTTACAAACCAATGAACCCCTTCTAAAGCACACTTAATTAAAGCTATGAATAGGTTTTAAAGCAAAACATAATATTTTCTTTCAGGAAATTGTACAAAATGTGAATTAATGCCTGAGGTTGTAAAATTTTGTTCATGTGGAAAAACTGAATTGAATTTATTGCAAACTACAGTAAGAAGTTCATGCACTGATCCCATACCTACATGTGATTTAATATGTGGAAAAAATCTTAATTGTGGCCCTGCAGGTAAAAACACGATTAAAAAATTACATTGAAATGGCAAGGTTTTTGTTAAGGTTTTAGTTTTAATTTTTTTTTTTTTTGAAATTAAAGATGAAAATCATACATGCAAAAAAAAGTGTCATGAAGGTCTGTGTCCGGTTTGCTCATTAGAAAGCATTGTTAAATGCCGATGCGGCCACTTAAAAAAAATGATACCTTGCAGTAAACTAAACACTCTACCCAATGGTGTTTTGTGTGACAAACGCTGCGCAAAAGTAAGATTTTTGATTGTTATTATTGTTAATTTATTTCACATAAAACTTTCCTAGAATGTTACTATTATTATGAATTTAATTATAGAAAAGAAGTTGTGGAAAGCACAAGTGCAACCAAATTTGTTGTACGGATACTGAACATAAATGCAATTTGCCTTGTAACCGGTTTCTTCAGTGTGGTATTCACCGTTGCGAGGAAACCTGTCATAAAGGGCATTGCAAGCCCTGCCTAATAGCAAGCTTTGATGAGTTTACTTGTGAATGTGGTGCGGAAATTATTTTTCCACCTGTTCCTTGCGGTACGCGAAGACCTCAGTGCGATAAACCATGTTCTAGAGTTCACCCTTGTGGTCATCCTCCGGTTCATAGTTGCCATAGTGCTGATCAATGTCCTCCTTGTACTGTGCTCACCAAAAAGTACTGTCACGGACGTCACGAGGTAAATATTTTCTTGTAACTTTAGTTATACGGCCTATAATTTAAATATAAATAATACTTACGAACATTATTATTATTATTATTGTTGTAGTTGCGAAAAGCTGTGCCGTGTCATCAGGATTCTTTTTCTTGTGGATTGCCCTGCGGAAAAGAACTGCCTTGCAAAAAACATAAGTGCATTTTACCATGTCATTCAGGCCCTTGCCTTAAACAAGGTCAATCTTGCACACAAGCTTGCACTTTACCGAGGTCTCTCTGCGGGCACAATTGTGGCATACCGTGCCATGAAGGGCCATGCTCATCTGATGTTATGTGTAAAGAAGAGGTAAATATATGATATTTATTAACAAAAAAAAAATTTAAATTAAACAATATCGTTTTTAAAGCGATGAAAAAGTAGTCAATTAATAAAATTGTTGTTATTAACATGTGTTTTATTTTTATTTTTAGGTTAAAGTAACTTGTGAATGTGGTCATAGGGTAACAACTAAAATTTGCCATGAAAATTTTAAGGAATCTTTAAAAATTTTGGCGGCAAAATCAGGAAAAAAAATAGATACTCACGACCTCGATACTAACGACTTTACCGAACTTAACTCAAATAAAAAATTGCTGTATAATAAGTGAGTAATTGTGTTTTTTTTTAAGTTTTTTTTTTTTTTTTTTTTTTACGTAAATCACATTTTTCAAATATTATTATTATTATTATTCAAGTATAAGGTTTTTATTGATGGCATCTTATGACGGTTATAATATTTGTTAGTAATAAAAATAAATGAATTATATTTCAAAATTACAGTTTAGAGTGTAATGACGAATGTAAGTTGATTGAAAGAAATCGTAGGTTAGCATTAGCTCTTCAAATAAAAAATCCTGATTTAAGTGCTAAATTAACGCCTCGTTATTCAGAGTATTTGAAAACTTGGGCCAAGCGAGATCCCAGGTTTTGTCAAATGATTCATGAAAAACTTACGGATCTAGTGCAGCTAGCAAAGCAAGTAAGAATGTACATTATGTATTTTGCATGTTATAAAAAAAAATTAAATTATTTTTCATAATTGTTAATAATAAACTTCAGAGGTATATCTCGTGTATATGAATTCATTCACAAACCGTTTCTTTCATTAAAAAAAATCTATAAATAAATAAACTTACTACTAAATACTTACTTATTAATATGGGCATTTTATTATAATTTGATTATTTAACACTCTCCTAATGTGAATGTTACAGTCAAAGCAAAAATCACGAAGTTATTCTTTTGATTCTATGAACCGAGAAAAAAGGCATTTTATTCATGAATATTGTGAACACTTTGGATGTGAATCCATGGCCTACGATAAAGAGCCGAAAAGAAATGTTGTGGCTACCGCACTGAAAGACAAAGTGAGTATTTAATGTTTCATTTACTTAAAATTTATTTAATAAGTATGTAACTAATAATGTAATAATACATATTTACAGTCTTGGCTTCCCAGCGTATCCATTACAGAATTCGTTCGAAAGGAAAATAGTCCACGTAAAGTTCCAATGCCTGTCATCACAAAATCTGTTATTTCGACTCCTCA